AATATTATACGGGATCCGATACTACCCGATACGGGTATTACAAGCAGTTGCATTGACTTTTATCACATACTAAAATTACTACATGAAAACATAGCAGGAGCTCATTATAATGAAAATTGAACGCGTGTAATTGTTATGCATATGGGTAACAACACTGTATAGGTATTTTGATCAAGAAATATTGTAAGTTAAATTTAAAAATGGATGGATTTTTAAAAAAGCGTAAATTAACGGATGACAGTGATGTTAGTGCAAATGATAAAAATTTAAATTTAAAAATTAAACGTAAATATGTTGATAATTATTTATGTTTTGGATTTTCGTGGAATGGTGACATTGATTATATTTTAACAGTTTGTATCGTTTCAACTGTTTCACCCGTAATAGAGGAATTATGTAAAAAATACCAGTCTCAAATTTCAAATTAAATTTGTATTATATATATTATGTTAATATAATTATATTATAATACATTATATATAATTATGACATTATGTATATTCATTATTATTTATTTAAGTGTGCTGTGGAAATTTTTAAAACGATCTAGTGTACCGTGAAGTAAAAAAGGTTGGGAATCCCTGCTCTAGAGAATAGTTTCGATATGAAATATTTTATTAGTGAGAAAAAAGTCTTTTCCGCTTTGAGCAAGCGACTGGTTATTTCGGTGTTCCATTCGTTGTTACCCGTGATTGTTACACCTAGATACTTCAAGGTATGTGCTTCCTTGAATACCTAATTATCTACTGTAAGGTCTTCCTCATCTATTTCAGGCAACGTTTCCATTGCTTTGGTTTTCTCCTCATTTAGAAAAATATTTTAGCAAAATTAATTTTAAAAATGATGTACCTAATGAAAAAAAAAAAAAAATAGTAGGAAAGTGTTTCTTATGTTATATAATGTTATAACCTGTAAATTAAAAAAAATTATAATTTTATTATATTACAATTTATTAATTAAAAAAAAAAGGAAATTGTAATTTATATTATGTTATAATTTGTTTAATTTGTTAATTAAAAAAAGTATTAAACGATTTTCATTAATAAGTTATATTTTAATATTAAAGAATCTCGATTATGGATGAAATAATAAGTGTTATATTATTATTATTATTTGGGGGGGAGCATAAATTATATGCTCGGGGGCGCTAAATTTTTAAATACGGGCCTGGTTATCAGTAAGCACTATGCATCTATGCGCAACATATTAAATACGATCATACGTTTAATTTAGTTCGATTTCATTAATTTATTTTCATTTAATTGTTGAGCTGATATTGAAAGAGTACTGAAATGAAATCAGAAAAAAAAAAATTTCAAAAATTTCAGAAAAGGCCTTGCCATGCCATCTATTCATCGAGATTTAGACTTTCAATCCGATGAAGTTATTGATGATTTAGCAAATAAAAAATGAAAACTAGAATTTATAATATAATTTGTAATTTTGTTATAGTTGTTTGTCAATAGTTTGATTTCAATAAGTTAATAAAAAACCTAACAATAAGTTGATAAAGAACATTTTATACTAATTTATAAAATTATATCACTATTAGGTATGAAACCCCCCCCCCCCAAAAAAAAAGTTTCTAAATACGCCACTGGACTCTATGGTCCATATATAGTCGTGGTCTTCAATGCTCTCCCTCCCCGCGAAAAAAATTTCCGTGGACGGCCTTCGCGTCGTCTTGGGCGTAAAATATATACACTGATGATAAGCATGTACAATACAAAACAGACCGAGACGTGTTTGTTTGTATGAAGTGTACGTAATGTATATTAGGTATGTATTATACGGGTAGATATATATATACACACGTGTACACGAGACGAAGGGCCGGATAATGCGGAGGAGAGCGGCTCAATTAAAGTTTAATCCGAAATTATATCTTTCCGGTGTTGCGGGGTAGGAGACGGGTTGTGTCCCTCGCTCCGAACCCTGCCACCGGTCTGTACAGAGAAATATATATACTTTCCCACGCGAGCGGCAATAGTCGTCGTCGTCGGGGACCTATGTCGGGTGCGAAAAGGGACGCGCGCAGACGACGACGACTTGCTTAGGAATCGTCTTGATTTGCCGCCAACACCACCCGCTGTTGCCCGCGTCACGTCCCTTAAAATGTGGCACACGCATTCCATTAATGTAGATCTAACAAAAACGGCGCAACGACACGTTTCGCTCTCCGATCCCTCTTGTACTTCATTCGTTTTACCCTACCTGCACGCATCTTCCCTCCACATCAGTATCTCACTCCCTTTCTCCTCTGTTTTTCGTTTCATCTCTTACACGTGAGTACCACAGTGTACCATAACTTTCGTCAACCGCTAATAAGCGTCTTCCTCTACGCCGCCGAACCCTAAAGACGGAACTCGTATTATCCGGCGTCGCCTGATTGCGTCCGGTTATCAAAACCGTATCTTTACCCGTGTACAAGTTATGAGTGCGTCCGTAAGTGTACACGACGTTTTTATTCGCATTTCCGACTATCATGAATTACTTCACGTTTTCCAGTTGAAACGTTACGAATCGCAATACCGTGTATATGTTCACTACAATCAAAACATGTATTATTTAAAAAAAAAGCAATTTTCGGGGCATGTACGGTTCGCTTTTTCGTGATACACTTAATGCACTGGGACACACGTGAACTGTATACAATAAAATGCTTCTTTTTAATCCGGAACGCATATTTATACGCATATTATAATCCTGAGCACACTTTTCGTGTGAACGCTCTCGATACTCTTACGCGGGTATAATTTCGGAACGCACTAGGGAGTTTCCCGTATTATTGTTCGTACATCCTCATCTCCATGGTCATTGATTATGACACGGTGGCCAACTACATTTTTTTAATATTATACCGAACTCGTAATAATATGGCAGAATTGCGGCTACGGCGCATTTTGTAAAAATGGTTGCATAAAAATAAAAAATAAATAAATAAAAATGAATTGTCCGATTTGCCCAATGTGTGTAAGAATATAACTTAAGAATAGCTTGACCGATTTTACTGTTTTTTTTTTTTTTTATCTTTTTCGTAATTGTCTGAATAAAGTTTGTATAAAAGAACATTTTTAGAAAGTCTTCCGAATAAGTCGATCAGCAGTGCCGGCGCTATGATTTGCGAGGCCCTGGATCTGAATATACTACAAAATAGAAGCGCGAGTCCCACGAGCCAATCCAAAAGTGCGAGGCCCTGTGCGATGGCACTTTCTGCACACCTCTCGCGCCGCCACTGAACATTAGTTACATTTCATAAAATATATGACGTGTTTGACGGTTTGAGTACTCCGAAATTACTTAACCGATTTCAATATTTGGTAGAGAGATAGATTAGAGCTTGGAGGAGGACATAGATTACATTTTGTCTCGATAAAAGCAAAGGAAAGCATTAGTACATCTGATAAGGCCCGGAAGGGTAGTTGTTTTGTTGTTGCTATAACAACCGAAAAAACACCATCGTCACATACCTCAGTGTGCACCTAGAAAATGGTGAACGTGTCTATTTAACTGAAAATAATATATAGGTACAAGTGCGACAAGATTCTCCAAAAAACAACACTCACCGCATATTTTGATCTCTGTTAAGAGATTCATTTAAAAGAACTTAACTGTATGTTACAGTCAAGGCCGTATCTGGGGGGGAGGTCCAGTGTGTCTGGATTCAAACATCAAGTTTACCATATCAAATATTAGTGACCATTATATTTTTACAAAGTAAATTGGATTCATCAATACAAGACCTCTGGACTTATTGAGGATGGTTTCTAAATTTAAAAATAGTTAACAATGTTAGCTAAAAAAATATAAAAACACAAATCCCGCAAATAAATGTCTCAATGATTAAATACATTAAAAAAATTATTTTTAAATGTATTCCTTTATTAAATTGAGAAAAATAAATATAGCATAGATGTACACATTTACATAGAATAGATAAAAATAGATGTTTAGCTCTTATTTAGTTTTGAAATGTAGTCTACAACTGTTTAATCTGTAAAATGTTATCAATAAGTACTTATTAATTCAAATACATTAAAATTTAATCAAATAAATTCAAAATTAGCAAGAATTATACGTAAAAAAAAAACCATATATAAAACAAATATAAGTTACAAATTATGATATAGTACAATAATAATGAATTACAGATCAGTGGCATCATAAAAACATTTATATTCTAAAATAACAGTCAGTGTCATTTTATATTTGATGATAGAGAAATAGTTTTTTTTAAATAATTATGTTATACTTAGCCTTTAGTATTAATGTATTATTCAATGATTTAGTAATAATACTAAATTGGCTTCAGTCTTTAGTTAAATGGTTGAACTAATTAAAAGTTTAGCTAAACAAATTTTCTGTAATGCCACTGTTCTAAATTATTAAATGAGACTAATGAATAATAAAGAATTAAAATATTGTTTCCACTACAGTTAATAAAATTATTATTCTAAAATAACTAAGCACCATTATTAAGATTTTCAATAGTCATTTTACATTGCATTAATTTAATAAAATTCGTTCATTGTAACTGCAATAATATTGGATTTCTGGTGGCACATATTTACCCTGCTTAAAAACTATTGTTTATAATTCAAAGTATAATAAACATAAATTTCACACGAAAATAAGATTAATTAACTATAAAATTTTAAATATAATATTAAATTATTTTGGTATTTGATTTTAGTTTTTGTTTTAAATGAATAACAATAAATAAAATCTATAAAAATAATGAATTAATGAACAATTAAAATGCTAGTTAACAAACAATTAACGAAACAATGTAGCATACAAATAGAAAAATATAGAATACAATAAGAAAATACATTTAAATGCATATGTATACATATAGCACGTATACAATAACGAAAATAGAAATTTAAGAAATTAAATATTGAATATAATAATTTAGTTTAAGATGCCCAAGCCCAAGCCTTAATTAAATAAATAATATATTTTCTTATAATACTGTTGCAAACAGCATTTAAATGTTTATTAATATATAATACTGTAAATTTAAAAGTAACCACATGAATATCTACTTGCCAATAAGTATTTTAAATGAAAAAAAAGATGTATTTTGGATATTATGATTAAATAAGGTGTAGGATATTAAATTTAACAATAATTGTATAATTGGAGTACAGAATTATTAAAATATTGTTATTTATATTTAGCCAACCACTAAAGCAATAAGACATTTTTTGTAATCGCCTGATGTATCATCCTGAAACATAAAATTGATCATTAAAAAATGTAATTTATATTTAAACTAAAATACATTTAGTAACATATTTTCAATCAAAAAAGTTAATTTTAAACTAGGGTTTCTAATTTGTACAAAGCCAATTCTTGAATTTTGTTATTATAAGTGGAAGCAAATACTGCTCATAAATGTAAATTACGAATTGTTAATTTCGCCAATCAATCATTACAGTCAAATTTTATTTCATTTACTACTCATGCAGAATTCAGCAACTCACCATAGTATCAGACTGTCGATTCGCATAAATAAAACAAACAAATAATTTAATTAATAAAATTAATGTCAATCTTTTGTAGGCCTAAATAGAAGTTGTTAAGTTAAAATTTATTTGAAGTTTGATATTAAAATTTCAGTGTTAAATCTGATAATTAGAACAGACTGCATAGTAATACACAAATAATTTTATTTGTAGTATGTCCACACAAACTTGTTGTGTTTTAAATTAATCAAACAAAATAATGTTTAAAACAATTACAGAATATATTTAATATGATATGATTAGAAAAAAATATGATTGCACTGGTAGTACAAATAAAACATAATACTAGGTTTATTAATAATATTATCTTAATAAACATAATTAATAAATGTAAATAATATTCTTACCGCAATATCAGCTTCTAAAGATTTCCCATACATTGACAAGTAAGCATTTTTTATTTCAACCATATCTATTTCACAGCGAGTAGAAACAATACGAATCAAAGCTCTGTCATTAGTTCCAAATCCGGCCATACTTTCATTTAAACGCTTAGCAAAATATGAACTTTTATCTCTTACAGATTTAACTGAACAAATAAAAAAAAAAATTAATAAATTATTACAGAAAATTGAACTGAAATATTATATAAATATACCAATTGCTCGGAGTCCATTTTCAATATCCCCACTGAATTCACTCTTGACAACATCCTCAAAGTCTCGTCCTGTTAAACGATGATACTCTAGAAATACCTGTTGTAACTGAGGAAAACTACGGCTACACAAGATCATGTTGAATGTAGATTCGTCTGTGCCAAACTGAAGTTCACCTATAACAATACATTAAATGAAGTAGATATAAACAACTGTAAGGTAATTTAAATTCATGAACATATATGACAATTATTTACCGGCTTGTAATAAATTTTGTGCATCAGATTGTGCTGATGCTACATCAACAAACGTATTTTCATTGCGTTTTCCCTGAACAAATAAAAATTTTTATTTTATTTTTAAACTTTACTCTTGTAAAAATTCACAAACCTGACAAAGTGACACCAATAATCGACGAAAACTTCCAGATGTTTCTCCCATTAATTCTTTCTCTAGATCATTTCCAAACACTAAGCAACAAATTAATAATATAAGTAATAAAAAAGTTTACACAGTTAAAAAAATATAATATACATTTGTGATACGCCATTTTTATGTTATTGATTTCTGCATTAGATGCAGTACATATAATTTCAATAATTGTTTCTTCATTAGTGCCAATACCAGAAACAGCATTTTGGATTTCTTTTGCTAGGAAATCATTTGTTGGTGTCATGAGTGCTACAATCAAATCTTTGAACTTTCCACTCAGTTCACTTTTCAGATCTGATATCAAATCCTAAAATATTTAATTAATATTTATAATACATATGAGCACATTACAATTATAATCAGTAAATTGTGAAAAACTTACTTTGCCATACATTGTCTTAAACTGCTGGGCAATTTCTTGTCTTTGAGAATTGACTCTGTGAGCCAAAACTTGAATTATAGCTTTTTCATCTGTTCCAAATCCTTTCATAGCTTTACGCAATATTTCAGCATCACGATGTGCATCAAATGGATTTGCAGGACGCAAAGTTGGGTTAGACTAAAAAAAATAGATGAGAGCTTTTCAATAAGATTTTCAAGTATTATAATATTATTTTAGTATATATAGTGTATTATGGTTCATACCATTTTTCCTTTTTAAAAATTATTTAACTTATGGTATAATGAAGCAAATTAGCAACAAATAACTAGTTTAATTTATCAAAAGTACTGTCAATAAAAAAAGAACATATGCTTCGCCAATTTATTTATCATAATATGATAGCAAATTAAAAGAGATAATTAAAATTTGTAATCAGCATTATTTTAACCAAGGCTGTGAATATTAATTAAAACCCAAGTAATTTAACAAAGAAAATATCTCGCATTGATCTATACACAATAAATGTAATCTAGGTCAAATTATTTTCAATTCAATTTTTATAGATAATACACTTTAGCAAGTTAATCTAGGCTATTAATTTGTCATGTTATACATTTTCAAATAGATAAAGTAGAGAAAAAAGTTTAATTTATATTTTTTTAAAATTTTTTATTTCAAGATGTATTAACAAGTTGACTGCCGGAGTATTATTATAGGGTTGTCCACACACGCCGATGTATTTTTGGACAGATTACATCATAGGCCTTGGGTTTTTTTTCTATATTTCTAATAATTTTTTTATCTCATAAACGTATGGTACTCAATGCCTATAATATATTATTATAGCCCGTACTGTGATATTATTTTCTATTTCATTTCTTTTTGACTCGTTTACGAAGCAATGGAAAACGATGAAATTATTGATGCTCTTAATATGTAATTTAATGATGATTTATCCGACTTGGGCGATGATTCGGATGCAGACCCCGACTACACTTTGGTATGTTTTTATTATTATAATTTATGATTCATAGATTTAGGTATCGAGTAGCGTGGATAAGTTTTACTGATTATTTTAATTTATCTTTATCTATTTTCACGTTCAAAAAAATTGAAAAACTCGTAATCTATTCGCAATGCTTTGAAAATTATCTTCGTATATTTTACTATATAATATATATAGATCTATATATATCTATATATATATAGAACTATATATAGAACTAATATATTTTAATAAATAATATTTTATTATTATTAATAATTAAATAATAAATTATAATAATATTAAATTATTATACAGGATTCTAACATTTTTTCTTCGAGCGACGAAGAAGATAGTAATATACCACACGAGCCAAATATTAATATTTTTCCTACTTAAACTTCATCTACTTGTGGTTTAATGAAAAGTAATACTTCGTGTCCAGTTATCAATCCTAATTACGAGCCTTTTGGAATTAACCCGGATATAATAGAAACGGGTAATAGAAACAATAACGGGTCCCCATACGATTTTTTTTGTTTGTCGATGACGATGTTTTAAATTTATTAGTTATAGAAACAAATAGATATGGTAACAGTTTATATGCTTCAGCCCAACAGCCAAAATCTAGGCTTAAGGAATGGGTAGAAACCGACATAGTAGAAATAAGGACATTTTTGGGTATCATAATATGGATGGGATTGACTCCTCAACTTATAGCGTCATATTGAAGCAAAAATGACATTTATAAATCTAACAATCCTAATTTTATAAAAAGAAATCGATTTGAATTATTACTAAGAAGTTTTCATTGTTTTAATAATAATGAATGTCCTCGAGGAGATTGAATATTTAAGATCCGTGGCTTAGTCGATATGTTAGTATACTAATTTAAAAATTGTAACGTACCAAGTGAAAACTTATGTATTGACGAATCAATTATTCCTTTTGTTGGACGTTTGTCATTCCGTCAATACATCCAAAACAAAAGACATAGGTATGAAATAAAGGTTTTCAAGCTATGCATGAATGATGGATATACAGTAGATTTCAAAATATATGCTGGACAGGAATCAGTTCCTGGAATGGGATTTTCAACTAAAATCATCATGGAGTTGTCTGAAGACTACTTGGAGATGGGGAGAACAATATTCATAGATAACTGATATACTTCTATCAGCTTAGCAAATGAACTTTTGTCCCGATCAACAAATTCAGTAGGTACTTAAGATCCAATAGGAAATTTAATCTAAAAAATGTTATTAATGCAAAATTAAAGAAAAGGGAAATAATATCAAATAAAAATGAAAATAATATTCTTGTATTGAAGTGGAAGGACAAGAGAGATGTATTAATGTTATCAACCAAACACAACGATAATGTCATAAACACTACTAACAAATATGGTAATAAAATTGTTAAGCCAAAAGTTGTATTCGATTATAATAAAGTTAAAGGGTTTGTGGATATTTCGGACTTACGAGGATCATATCATTCACCACTTCGAAGATCACTGAAGTGGTATCGCAAAGTAGCGTTTGAACTATTATTAAACACAAGTTTATTAAATGCACTATCCTTGTTTACTACTGTAACTGGTAACAAAATGGGCGTTATTAAATTTAGAGAGATCATTCTAAAATCACTAATGCAAAAATCTCAAATATCCTAAATAAGTCAAGGAGAAAACCATAAGCTAGTTACATGCAAGAGAGGAAGACAGCATTCACAAAAAGTCACTCGAAAAGTGCAAACTTTGTATCAGTTGTTCTAAGCCTCTATGTTTAATGTCAAAATTGACCCTCAAAGCCTGAGAATCAAACAGTGTGAGCACCAGTATTAGTACTCAAGGCGCGTAGAAAGAATATGTCAAAACTATTAAAGCCTAGGATGCATACCACGTGAGTACCAAATATGATACTTATGGCAGTCAACTTGTTAATATTTTTGAAGTTTTTGTTACTGATCTAAAAGCAACATATTCTCTTTAATTTTTAATTGATATCAATCTTGTTTGCACTTAAAGTATTTGGTTATTAATGTATTTTTTGACTTTTTTTATTTGAATTTCACTAGTTATTACATGTAATTTAAAATATACATATGTTGTAACTACAAACTTAATTAAAAATGAAAATAGCAAACAACTGTCACCAAAAATAATTTTATATATTAATTTTACAAAAAAAAAAAAAAATTATTGAAACATTAACATAATCCTAGTGTTATTTCTATAAAAAAAATTTGCAAAATGTAAGTAAAGTACTCAAGTTGTTGGGAGATGATAAATTATGGTAAAGTGCATTATTTAGTTTCATAAATAAAATGTTTATGCAAAACTATAATAAGATGTAGATTATTATTCATGTTTTAAAAACTTACTGTATAATATATAATATTTCCTAAATAATAAATATAAATTAATTAAAAACCAAATAATTACAATAAAATAATTCATTGAAATTGTATTATAATAAAATGTATGGAAAATTATAATAATTTATTTTCACAAATTTAACTGAAGTTATTTTTTATTAAATATTTAATTAATACTATCAATTAAAACCATATGTATATGAGTTTATGTATGTATGTACATTGTTAGTTATTCCATATATTAATGTATAGTATAAAGAAAATTGGAAATAGAAAAAAAAAAATGTATAACTTTATTATTATTTCTTATATTTATATAAAATAAAATAAATTAAAAATAAATATATCTAAAAATTATATAAAAATGTAGTGGATTATTTACTTTGACTGAAGTAATAATAAATAATTTAGTATTGAAAATTCATAATTAAAAAGAAATTAATGAAATCTCACCTTTTTCTGAGCAGGTGAGCTGTTCAATGGTTGATAATGAGCAGGAGTGCTAATAGGTGGATAAGCTGCTTGCGGTGGAGCTTGAGAACCTCCTCCATAACTACCAGATGTCATATTTGGATAAACCGAAGATGTTTGTTGATGGCTTGGGTATGTAGACTGTGGTGGATAGTTTAATGGGGGTTGGCTTATTGGATAAGGGGAAGCCTGAGGTGGATAATTTGATGGTGGTTGATTATTTGCATACGGGGAAGCCTGTGGTGGGTATGAAGGATACATGGACGAGCCAGCAGATGGAGGTAGAAATTGACCAGCTGGCTGATGTGGTGGATATTGACCTACTTGAGGGTATGGATTTTGGGAGGGATAAGTTGGTTGACTAGGTGGATAAGCATTAGGCATTGGCAAACCTTGTTGACCTATATTTCCACCTGGGTATGGTGGGTAAGGAAGTTGAGAACCAGGCTGTTGCATTCCAGGTTGGCCAGGGAATCCCTAACAAAAAAAATTTCATAAAATATTATACTACCTTGTTTGAATACAAATTAAATACTATATAATTTCAATGAAAATTAATTATTAGCAACAATATTTACTCCCATTTATATATACACAAAATTATCATAAACCAGTGCACTTTTAAAAATTGTAATAAACTAATGTATATATGTTTCTTCTTCCTAACAGACAAATTCTATCTTCTCCTTTGCATTCACTCCACTCTCATTATTTCTTCAATAATTAACACCCTAAATTCTGCTGACTTTTTTATTCAAACATATTTATATTATTCAACAGTAAATCTGTATATTGTAATTTGTAATAGCATTGCTGTAATGTATCCAACGCAATACAAAAAAAAAAAAGTATAAGGCTTATATAATTATTAAAACATAATAGTTTACATCCTTATAATTTTGTAATTTTATATATTAATACAGATAAATGCTAAGTACATATTACAAATTTGAACTACATTTTAAATACACGCGTATATTTTAGAATAAGAGTATGTTGTAAACTTACAATATTTAATAACTTATAATAATTTATAATTTATACGAAATACGTGATTAATAAAATTACTTTAAAAACAAATTTCTGCAATTTAAAAATAACTTTAGCTCTTGAGCTCTCGATAACAGTAAGTCTAAAGACACAACAATCAACGAAACCGATATGAAATCTTATCTCACTCAAAATCACAACATTTAATTATATTGGCTCTTTACACACCACAGGTAACAAGTATTCATACACCAAGACAATGTAGAAAATGTACCTTGATCGTTTAATTAAAAATGAAAGCAGACTTCAGAATATTTTAACCGATGATACTCTCACGAGTTATATATGTAAACAAACTAGCTATAGTCTTGTTGACGCGGCAAGTGCCTAACAAAAATATATGGCTGGCTTGTTCGCCAATTATCAAATTACGATACTGCAAATAAATGCGTTATGATTACCAAAGATCGATTCACAATACTACAAGAAAAAATGTGATACAAACAAGATGGAAGCAAACAGGATGACTCGAAATACACGTACACACAATGTCGGACAAAACAGGAAGAGATCGATGGTGCCGACGACATTTGTCATGAAAGCTACGGCCGCCGGACACCATATTTATGATAAAATGTCTCAGTATCACCACACTAAACCTGAAAACAATGGAACTTAAGAAAACTTATGACACCGAGAACAAGACTTTTAAAACTTTACATGCAACATGGCCAATAGTTTTTACAAACATGGAATAACGAACACTTTCAAGCGACGAAAATGACGATGCAATTACGTAGCCGGTTGCATACGAAGGCTTATCTACACGGATTTTATTTATACGGAGATGGTTTGGGTATGTGATGAGACGAGGGGAAACAAATGCAGTAAGAGGTTTTATGAAAATTAACGTTGAAAGGAAAAAATAATACGATTGACAATGATATTAGAGCCGTTGGTATGTGCATAGGAAATGCAGAAAATCGAGACGAGTGGAGGTTTAGGACAAGGGTGGCCGACCCCAAATAGTTGAGAGAAAAGCAAAGGAGAAGATATAATAATCGTTCCAGCTATCAATTTACATGATATCATACATTATCATAATACTTAATCCATGAAACTTAATACACATCTAGTAGACGCATATAAGGCCGTCGCCAAAGAGGGGGGGGCAACGGGATAATTTCGTTTCAGGCCTCAGTCCAGGAAAATTTAAAGGGGGTATTTTAAAATTCAGATTGATTAGAAATACTCGGAATTACCCATTAAAGATTATTGAAATAAATATATCAATAATATGTATATTATTTCTAAACTATTTTTCTTTATGAAGTATTAATAAATTTAATTAAATTAATTAATTATTATTAACTTAAATTTATATTTAAGCGCTATTACACAAACTCCATTTTCAGGAGTTCCCACTCCGCCCCTGGGTATATTGTACGTAAACCAAAGGATATTCCGTATTAAATAACAATATTCATGGCGTTCGTAGAAATTTTATCAAAAATATATTAAAATACGTGTTATATAAAATTGTAAAATTAAAATTATTACTCATTAACTTATTAATATTTTAAAACGAAGAAATATAATAAAACAAGTGTAATATGCATGTATATTAAATATATTTTTGTACAATGACGAACGTTTTTTTTATTTTATTTAGGTCGATCGTACAACTTAGGTCACAAAAGACAAAAAAAAAAAGACAAGTTTATAAAAGTTGGCCATCCCTGCTCTTAACTATTTTTCAATTTTTATTTTTTAAAATATTTTAGTAAATATATGTTATAATAATTAGTGGTTACTGATTAGAGTGATAAGTGATTACAAAAATAATTCCTAATATCATGCTACGCAATTAAAACATAATAAAACACATTTTCCAATAAAAATAGAATAGTTAATTTGTTAGAATCTATTTACATCAGGTTCTGTCATTCCGAGTAAAATGAGTCATAAATATAATGAGTCATTTCGACTCTTGATGCATCCAATCATATTTCCTATTGTAAGTGGATAGGTACCTAATTTATTTAAAGTACTCGTATAAACTCTTTCAAACATTCTCATAAAATGCTAGTGTAAAAAATGTTATTGGATATGTTTAATTAATTCAGATTAAAAAAATTGTCGACGATTAAACTTCGATCGTAATAGTTGCCATTGAATATTATTAGGAGCTAATAATTTTCACTCGGGAATAAATATGGGTAAAAACTTGATGTTTTTTTTTTTTTTAATTTCTATCAAATAGAGCACAAATGGTGCCATCTTATGAAAATGTTTGAAATCGATAAGGGTTCACACGTATAATTCATGTGACTATATACTATAATAACTATAATTAAAGTCGAAAAACGATTCTCTATATATGTATACATATTGCTGTCTTGAGAAAAATAATGTACCTGGTTGTTTGGTGGATATCCTGGATAGCTCATTTTGTTATCGGTTGATGAGATGAAAACTAATGAATACTACAAAAGAGAGTATTGAGATTAAGACAAAATGGAGAAACTTTAAACAGACGAAATTTAAGTAGAGAAAACTTAATGCGGAGTGACAACTCACGAGTGTCAAGTGACGAAAAACAGAAACCAATAGAAAACGTCATAAACTTGTGAGTAGGAGTATATCAACAATCTTTATCATTTCGTCATGGACTAATCAAATATTTGGATGAATCGACCAATGGCTACCATGGTATAGTGTTAAGAACCATATGTTTTAAAGATGAAAATTGATTATAACGCTGAATGTTTGCAAACCGTACTTGAAGTGTTTGGGCGGAGTCCCTTAAGTGTAATTTTACTACAAATGTGTTTGGTTTTCGATTTTTGACCATTTTATTTTTATTTTTTTAAACTGTACTAATTACCAATAATTCAAAATGAGACTGAGAGCGATATTGGGTTACACTTTTTTCGGATCGGCATGCACCTTGATGTCGACCACTATATTGTATTACCTGTTGACCGGCAAAGGTGAACAAATCAGCATCGGTTGGTTCTTGGCCAACACTTCGCCTTACATGTGGGCTGTGTTGGGTATATCACTTGCTGTTGCGCTGTCTGTTGTCGGAGCTGCTTTGGGTATTCACACAACTGGTGTGAGTATTGTCGGTGGTGGTGTAAAAGCGCCACGCATCAAGACCAAGAATCTTATCTCCGTCATTTTCTGCGAGGCAGTAGCTATTTATGGACTCATTACTGCAATTGTCATGTCTGGTCAGTTGGAATCATTTGTGGACAACGCTGATACTTCGCAACAAATCAGAGAACAAAACTGGATGGCTG